AACTACAAATATGAAAAGGATTACAAAGTATTAGACGCTAGAAACTTTACGTATTTTATTGCCCGGAAAATTGCTTGCCATCCGCGAATATTTATTTGCTTATTGAAGGATAAATTTAACTTTACAGTAGAGTCATAAAACTCTAGCATTTCAGCCAAGCTAACAGCTGCCTTAAAAAAACCAGTTGAAAGGAAAACTATTCGTCCAACAATAAAAGCGAAAAATAAGTAATGGTCAAAAGTGTTGGACAAATCCGGAAAACAGAAGTATTATCTAATTGTATAGAAGTTTTCTGTACCAGTTTTTAAAGTAGCAAGAGTAAATTTGAAAAAAAAGAACTCACATCGTCATCAATAAAAGTGTATTCAAAATCAAGAGTATCGAACTGGACCCGTTTCAAAATCTCTTCAAGGCACTCCATATGTGCTTGAGAAAGACGCTGGCCTGAAACAAATTGCAGAGGAAAAATGAAGTCTTCAACCATAAATTTTACGCATTATGATGAGATACGTAACTTTAAATAAAAATTTCTTATATTTATCTGAATAGTTTAGTGAAAAGTAAACAAAATCATACAAAATTAAAAAATTTCTACCTTTTAAAGAGAGGCACTCCTGTCTTAACCCGTTGATTTGATGAAAACACTAAAAATACTAAACTTTACAAAAAGACCGTTTAACAAAATACCTCTAATCTTGTTCATCGTTAACAGAAAGTTACTGTGATATTGCATAATCATGTCAATTTCTTCAAACTTTGGTTCCTCAAAATATGGTTACGAAAAAAAGAAAAGGAAATGAGCGAGCAGACTTAAATAAATGGTTATAAAGCCCTAGAAATCTCACTGAGGCGTCATTAAAGAAGTAACGATGGGAGTAGCAGGTTGACAACAGAATAGTACCGCCAGACTACAAAAAAAAAAGTTCTCTTAGCGGCAATATAAATAATGAACAAAATAAAATTTAAAGGTAAATAAGCACAAACGAAAAAATACAACAATTTTAGCACACATCTGTAAAAAATGCACAGTTCCAAAAACCGATACACGTGACATAATGAGCAAGATCAGTTAACAATAAAAATCACTAAAAAATCCAGAGAGAGTGTAGCACAGTGGGTGAAAATGGCACATATGTTAAAAAAGTTTGATTAACAATTATGGATAAGAAATTTTCATCAATAATCAAAAACGTTAAATACAACA